ATGACGATTTGTTGTACCGGTAACTGTTCATGAATGTATTGTTTAGATGTCAGTGGAAAGAAAGGAATAAATCTTAAGATGGAAGCTGAGATGGGACCCAGTTGAAACACTGCCCCTGGTTACCAGAGGGGGATGTAGACCAGAACAAATACTTAACAGAAGATGAGTTATGGTACCCAAGCCACAAAGGACGCTGAGAAATCACCCCTACCATACTTCAACTGAGCCTGCAAGGAATGCCACTGCTCTAGATCTTAAAAGTGAAGGAACATCAGCCAGTCAGATTTTGGGAATCTATTTCTATGGTATTGAAAGTGTTAACTATGAAGAGGTTGGATATAACGCAAGCAGGTAACTCTCATAACTCTTCCTCACAGACTTCATACACTCAGCCGGGCTGGGCTGGGCTGAATGAAGCTATGGGACAGCGGGAGACTGAGCGTGAGCGTTAAAAGTGTCATCCCTTGCATCGATCCCATAATGAGGAAAGCCTCATGGACATCAGCGACGTCAGGAAGACCGCAATCATTAATAACGAACTGAAGAGAGGGGAAGGGCAATCCCCAACAGAACAACTGGCCAATGGTGTTTCAATGGTGGCGTCTGTATGGTGAATGGTGTTTCAATGGTGGAGTTTGTATGATGAATGGTGTTTTAATGGTAGAGTCTGTATGGTGAATGGTGTTCCAATGGTGGAATTGTACGGTGAATGATGTTGCACTGGTTTGCACCATCTCCGCAATTGATAGGAGGCCTAATGGCAGAGAGACTGCAGGCCCCTAATTGTTCGCCAGAATATATGGCAGAACTACTTAATGAGAAAAATAATACACTACACATGCTACAATCACAATCATATCGAGAGGCAGTTAGACGATGGTGAGACGAATTTCATGGATTACACTCATTTGAATGATGACAAAACCGAACGATAAATCATCTAAGTGTGAGAATTCGACAAGGAAAAAATACAACTTGAGAAAGGAAAATAACATGAAGAAACAAATTTAGTGACTAATTCCTAATCAATAGAGTCTTGAATCACATTAAGGCCAAGCAATAAAAGAAGATGCAATAAAAAGATTTAATACCACCTCACTCACATTGTCCATCCAACAGCTAGGACATTGAGGAATCATCCTCATCTGGCGTACTCGCCAAAAACTACCAAGAAACCCAGGACGCCGAGAAACCACCCCTACAAAAAATAAAACAGCTTAGTATGTTAACCATCTTTGCTTTGACTTTTGTTTAAATTATCATTAATCCAATTTGAGTGGATTTGATGAAAAGGGGGATATTTAGATTAGACACTCTTTATCCTCCTTGAAATGCACAAAATATGGCCATTTTATTAAGAAGTCTCCTTGACACGCTAAACATAATGGTATTTTTTCATCCACTCGTTAACGTGTAAAATAAGGGGTTATAATTGCATAAATAGGGGGGATCTAGTTTGAAATACGGTACCAGTTCTTAATCGATATATAGCTATAACTACACAAAACAAATTGAGCCTTTCTCCATCCTCTACTTATTTTTAGAATCGTAAACTAGTGTGAGAATTACCCCCCCCCCCCCCCCCTTCATTATTATTTTTGTTAATGTTTACCACCTGTGCATGCAGTGGGGTACCGGTAATGAGCAAAAACTATTGAGTTCTTCCCCCCCCCCCCCCCAAAAAAAGGGGGGGGGGGTGGGCAGAAAAAAGGGGGGCACCTACAAAGGGAAACGAGCAAACTAAGATTTGTGAGGTCCCAGTGCAAAGAATTACATCTTATAAAGAAGGGAGGAAAAAACCCTGATTGGTATTAAGCAAAAATTAATGAAGAAAGAGTGGAAAGTTCTTTCATCAGTATACTTATAACATCTATAAATGGGAGCGAGCAAGCTCTAGAGAAAATTACAGAAAAGGGGGCTCTAGATCACCTTGAACTAGGGGTGTACCGGTATGTTATAGAGAAAGGAAAAGTAGGCACTTATTAAAAGGGAAAAGAACAGTTATTAGAAAAGAAAAGGTGCATGTGTCAAAGTAAAAAGGGCAAAAAGAGGAACCTAATCCAAGATCCAAGTTGCGGCACCCAGCTTCATTGTGGTCGAATCAAGGCAAGTCTGGAGTTGCAATCAAATTTGTACATAAAGTCAATGCATCAGCAGGTCCGGTGTTTGTTTTTCATTTGGCTTTTTGAAGATACCATCACACTCGAAGGGCTTGCGATAGGTGAAAAAAACTTGGTTACAAAATCACTGATTTCTTGATTTTTAGCGCTTTTTTGCCCCCGTGAGCTTTGGAAAGGTACATGAATTCTTTACAGCAACATTTATGCTTAGATATGTTAGTCAGGTTGTAATAGTCTTATTATTAAAATATATTCCATAATTTTTTAGGTGGGCAAGTCGTGAATGAATGAATGATTTACATTTAACTGATATATATATATATATATATATATATTGAATGGCATGATTCTATCAACTTGTAGCAAAGCACAGTGAACAACAAGATCGTAATATCAAATAACCTACCGGTATATGTTGTTTTTCCCTATTACAGAGGTAAAATTCAAAGTTCAAACGAACGTCCACCAGGGGAAAAATTCTGATCCCATATAGAGCAGGAAACCGATGAGTCCGAATTGCAATTTTGACCAAGAACTCAAATGCTGCAAAGCAATATTGTATATATTTAGGAAACACATAGCATCCTCTGTAGGCTAGGGGCTTATGGATTAGGGGCCATCGCTAGCTGATGGACTGCACTACAGTTTGGGGGCCCATGAGGGTAGGTAACCCGATAGGGCAGCTATGATGTTGTGATTGTATAGGTCTCTTACAATCCCAAGGCATATAAAGGAATGAATGACCTCCCATTATATTACCGGTACTAGATTACATGAGATGGAATAGAAGAAGAGGTGGAGTAATCGGACAAGATGGAATAACAGAGAGGGCGACAGAGAGAGAGCGAGAGACCAACTTAGAAACTGATGGAGAAAGAGATAAGAGAAAAATGGAAATAACCAATGAAATTGATCAATGGATAGAGGAATATAGAATAAGAAAGAGATCATAGAAAATCTGTTTAAGTGAGAAAGGCAGAATGGGAGGGATGGATGAGAATGAAAGACAGACATTGTGTTTGGTGTGGGAGAAACACAAGGGAAAAACAAATTAAGAAAGCTGAAACAGAACAATTGATAATCTTAGCAAGAGTACAGGAAAGAGAAGGAGAGTACGGTAAGTGACCAAATACAGTTTGTAGAAGCCAACTACACATATGATATGGCAAACATTACGCCAGAGAACACTATAACATACATCTAAATATAACCAGTATCTTGCTTTTCACACCCCTCATCCCTTTAATGGAACATACTTAGGAAACCAAGCAGACCAGCACTACGCAGGAACATGCCCATCAGCAGGTATACATCCATCAGCTCTGAACCTTATGTTTGCACATGGAAAGACATTCCAAGAATCACCCCAAGGGCTTGCATTTAGGCTTGCACTTGCACATCCATCCTAGGAAGAAAAAAAGCCCAGCACCATTGCATACATGTAGACCTGTGCATTCCGGCATCCTGGGAATAAAAACCAATACCAAGTTATACCTTGGTCACATGACCAGCTTGGAGCGTGATAATGATCAAAGGTCAACTTTTGGAGTTCAAGGGAGGCTGATGACCTAGCCCAAGTTGTTTATCTCTTTCATCCTTTCTCTTCGTCAACTCTTGGTAAAAAACTTCCTTAATTTTGCCTTCCTGAGACAGGTCTCTGGTTTCTCCGCAAAGCTGAACATCTCATAATGCTTCTGACATCTTCAAACCTTGGAAGAGAAACTTGACCAATCTCTACAAGCTAAACTGCTTTAACACTCAAATGTTAAGGTCAGGATAAACTTGGGAAAAACTGATAAATTATTAATCAATCTTTGCTGATGGGTGGGTCATGTATCAAACTTCTTTTTAATCTTTTGACTGGATCATGTACCAAGAGCACCTTACATGTACAGACTTGAGGAAAGGTTCTATATATATATATATATATATATAATATGTAACAGTACACAATTCTAGTCAATATGTGGAATAGTATCTGCACATCAAATTTAGACTTTGATCATAATTTTGGCAATCTATTTCTATGGTATTGAAAGTGTTAACTATGAAGAGGTTGGATATAACGCAAGCAGGCAACTCTCAAAACTCTTCCTCACAGACTTCATACACTCAGCCGGGCCGGGCCGGGCCGGGCTGAATGAAGCTATGAGACGACAAGTTCAAAAGCACGCTGCTGTGTGTTTCCAGCTCCTCTCAAGTAATAACCCTGATAAATTTTGAATAAACCTTCGTATCAATATACCAGAACTCAACTCAGTTTGTGCTTATATCAAGATATCAACTAATCTGACACAGTACTTGTAATCTTTTCAATGAAATACCTTTGCAAACTAATAAATACTGCTCTGAAGAATAACATTTATCAAAACCACATGACTTGTACATCGTGATTGAAATCTCTGTATCGATCATAACATTTTACCTCTTACTAAAACCCTATGCTACCCATCTATTCATCATTGACAAAAGGTCTATTCATATTAAAAGTATACCACAGGTTAAATATCAATTCCTCTACTGATCTCTAGGTCGTGTTGGTATAGATAAACAGAACATAATTCCTAAAAACGAAAGAGGAAGAACAACCTAATCACAGACTATTTGCATAGATATATTGACCCTGGCGGGTTGACCTTTTTATGGTTTCATAGTTAAATTCTTCCTGTTTAACTTCCCATCCACTCATCCTATGTTTTCTCTGTATACTCATTAATCAGAAATAATGATTTTCTTTTGTACAAAGAAATCAAATATTACACATTTGTTCAGTGTACACAGAAAAGGGAGAGCAAAGGTTCTCACTGCCATATTTGGACACATACAGACCTAGAAGACACATTAAAAAGTTAGGTTAGGAAAATTGAATTGTCTTTTTTGATGGTTAAGTCTGTACAGTGTATTTTTGTAAAGCTTTTAATATCTCCCAAAATTGATCTCCAAAAGACAGCTCAGTTGATTCATCTTTAATATCCAAGAAGCCAATGTCTCTATGTTACAGGTTTTAAATAATGATTTTCTTTCTTACTTTGACAATACTGGATTGTGTAACATATTTATCATGCCATAAGTTGATCATGCAATTTAATTTTTGTTTTACTCTTTCTACTGGCTAATCATTGTTGGTCACTTACATGCTTGGGGTGATCAGGCTTTCTAAGCCATGGGTCTGAAACTCTGGAATGAACTCCATCTACAAATACGTTAACGGTCGTCAACACAAACGTTCAATCACAACTGTAATTATTGCAAAATTCTAATTTACTATGTCTAGGAGAATTTAGTTTTGTTTTTTCTTTCTTATATTTGTTACATGTATTTTTCTCTAATAACCTTGAGCACCAAAAGGTGGACCTCTGTGCTATATAAGTAGCCACTATTATTATTATTATTATCATAAAAAGGTAAACGAGAGAGAAGTATACAATATTTCAGATTAAAGCAAGAAGTCTACCAAGAGTTGAGCAAGGATCTAAATGAAAAGTCCAGAGGGTTATCTCTAATCTCGATAACAAACCCAAACATCTCAGAGTCAACATGGTGATAAAAACTAATCCTGATTATTTCCATCTAAACAAACCACACTAAGAATAGACCAGGAGGAAGTGAAACCTTCAGTCCTTACAATCATACTTCTTCCCTTTCTATCTGTATTTGGCCCCCTATCCTACAGCAACATGTTAACAGTGAGGGTCACACAATAAGCAGGTAACTTTAAGCATGTGTGCAGCTTTTTGTAACTGCAAGGAAAAGGCGCTATATCAAATATCTTTTGGATGGATGGATGGATGGCTTTTAATTTTGAAGATATCTTGTATTTTACAGGGACTGTGAAGACACACTCTTGCTTACAATGCTTTAAGTTAACTCAAAGTTTCAAACCACGGCAGATTCGTCAGTTAAGCACGATTACTACCAACAGAGGGGGGGGGGGGGGCTCCGATCAAAGTTCTGCGCCATTTGGACGTAATTAACTGTGAATTTAAGCTAGCTTGAAGATCAAATGAATGCTTTACCCGGCTTGTAGTCAACCTTGAATAATTCGTTCGATTCCCTGTGAACCCTTATGTTTTTCAGTGGATCGCTGTTTATAACTGAGATTTTGCAAACTTAAAAACTAGGAGTCCGATGTGAACAATGCTAACATTGAATGTAGAAGAGGGTCTGTGGAGGCTTGGAGTAGGGGTGCACAGCTAGCCAGTCAGATCATTACCAGCTGGTAAGAGCAAGATAGCTCACGTTACTCTCAGCTTTAATAAAACATTCATGTCATTCATTCATTGACCATCAACAATACAAGGGCCAAGACTTCTTCAAAGTGAAAATTGGTTTTGACTTGATTAAGTGTGGATTCAAATGAACTGTACATGTGGTTATTGTATGTGTAGTGTATGCTCAGAGCCTGTTTGTAGTAATCTAAATAATGGGGAGTATATGGAAGAGTATTGTCTGAACTATAAAAAGGCAATGTAAAAAGCTAGGGCAAGAAACACACAGAAAGCTTTACAGACATTAAAATAATTCCTGTCTACGTATGGTAGATTTCACTTTTAACCCGAGGTTAAGTGTTCGATAATGATGTCATAACATAGTCCAAGTCTGTTGACCTGAAATAACCTTTGACCTTGATTTTTTAACCGGAAATTCTGCTCACATGATTGGGAATACTTGATAACCCTTTAGTCCAAGTTTCATTGAATGAGAACTTATACTTTTAAAATTATACTAAAACTTAATCTTAGGTTAAGTTTCTGATGTTGACGCCACCGCCGTCATCAGAAAAGCGGCACCTATGTCTCACTTTATGCTACGCAGGCAAGACAAAAATAAAGTTTCATCATGAACATTACTTTAAAAATCTGCATATCAAGCTAAGACATTTTACTTTAAAAAGCTGAATGAAAGTGGCAGTGACATTGATGACTTCTTAGGAAGTCATCTTTAAAAAGTGTTTATGGAAAGCTCTGTCATATCATACGGAAATCAATTAAAAAAAATACTAATTTGTGCATTTTAGAACGATTTAAAATTTTGAAAGAAGAAAAAAACAGAAGTAATATGCCTTTCGTCAACACCTCTATTCAAACAAAACAATTATCCTCAAAATTTGAAGTAACATAGCAGTAACAATTAACACAATGGCAGACTGCTACAAGGATAATAACAACATTTCTTTCATGTATCACCTATATCACATATAATGTGTCTTATGTTAAAAAAGAAAAGGATGAAAATGAACAGTATAAGTATTAATTGTTCAAAACTGACTTGGCTTGCAACTCATCAAAAGCCTTCATTTTAGTATTTAGTTTAGAAACTGGTTAGGACAGGTGTCTAGTTATACATACGGTTGTTTCTACTTGTAAGAGAATCAGACTGAATACACTCAGTCCCAAGCATCGGAAGGATAGTCCATGTCAGGTCCATCATGAGCTTCATGTTTAGGTGACATCTTCTGTATTGAGTGTTTGACTGAGTCCAGGATGGAATGGATACTACCCTCTGACCTACTGACCGTCATGGCCCTTCGTGCCGGGCTGCCTTTCTTACCAACGTCCCTTGCTTCCTCCAATCTGGCCACAGCTGACTCTCGCTTGTCACCCTGCTTTCCTCGATCTCGAATGGCAGCCATGAGGTCCGTACGGTTGAGATCAGTATCTGACCAGGAATGCTTGGGGATGCGTCTCACGGTAGAGTCTTCATCACGATTCTTGGTTGATTCTACCAGGGTTGCTGGAGTATCAGGAGTAGGTTTGTACTTGGGGATATCAGTGGAAGGAACTCCTACCATAGACCCACTATGGATGGAATCTTCCTCTCTATGGTTGTTATTGTTATTACTGGATAATGTCTCTGGTGCACCTCTTACTTCACAACCGTTCTTACAATGATCATCTGCACCTGTGTCCAAACTTGGTGTAACAGGTGGATGATTTGCATCAGTCTCTTCTGTATTTTTTGCATCACTTTCTGGTGAGTCATCTGCACCATTTATTACAGTTTCCCTGATTGGTAGTGAGGACATTTCTGGTATGGCAGTCACCGTTGCACAACTTGATTTGTTCACAATCTCATGCTTTTCTCTGGCTTCCTCCACATTCACCATCCTAACATTGCCCCTTGCTGATGCCATGGCATTCTTTAAGTCACTAACAGTCACTATCTTCCTTTCTGGGACAGGGCTTTCTGTAGAATGTCTATCATCTTCAGCCTTCTTGGCTTCATCTTCCTCCTGCAAGATACCGCGATACAAAAGCTCTGCATTCCTTGGACCTTTGACACTACTCCTAACATTGAGTGCATAACATGCAGACACTGTCCTTGAACCTATAGGTGTTGACTGCTGCTGCAAGAGAGCTTTAAAGTCAGTCATATTAGTCCTTGGTTTCCCGGAAACTAGACATACACGAACGGGAGTGTTTTCAACAATTACCGTCTCAGAGAAGCGAATAGTTCTACTATTAGAAGGAACATTGTCATAAGGAGAATCAGCAGCCATCATTTGACCAATGGTTGTGTCTGCAAATGGGTCTGTAGAGATATTCAACTTTTTCTTTGATTTGTGAATCTTAGCATGTAGATTGTCTTTCTTGTTGCTACCTTTTAATATAGAACTTCCTGGTTGTCGTTTTGGATCAAAGACATATGGCGTGTGTTCCTCCGATTCTTCCACAGCATCTAATGTTACACTTTTGGGAGTTGTTGGACGTCCTGCAATGTCATCTGATTCAGCACTCCCGTCCGTGTGCTCAACTTCCCCTTGTTCAGTGTCTGGTTCACTTCGGTTGTCTTCCATTCTCTTTGCTGCTTGGATGATGGCTTTGTCCGGATCAAGGTTCTGTGCAGCTATACCTTCTTTGTATGAAGTCCTGAAGGAAGTGGTCCTTGCTTCCTCCTTGTTCAGTGGTGACTCAGAAGCACAAGACATTGCCAACATAGCTGACACATTGGTAGTAGTGGGTATGACTGGTGGAGATGTGGGAGTAGCAGGAGGGGTAGCCATACTGCTGTTGCGCCCACCAGACTTTGACTTTCGCATCTGCTCCAGTATCTCTGCTCTCTGCTCCCTGGACATAGCTTTGGTTCTTTCCTCACCCGCCTTGAGCTGGCTCAGAGCATCATATGCCTGAGGTGCTTGTACCTGCAAGTCAGACACATAACGATTGAATTTCTGCTTCCTATCTAAAGAGTTTGTAGGTGAGATCACATCTGCTGGTTTATTGATAAGACTAGCACTCATTCCATTAGAGTAGACGGTGTAGGTACTGTCCTTTGACTTCTTTCTTATAACATTGTAACTCCCAGGGTACATTCCAAAGAACGTATTGTTTGAATCTGTAGGAGTCCTTGGACTTGTGACTGGTGTCACAGTATCTGTGTCAGACTCTGTCATTGTCTGACTGGTTTGTTGCTCAGGTTTGGGTGATGGTTTGTAGCCATAAAAACGTTCCCTTGCTTTCATCATGGCTCCTGGTATAGGTGTGGCCCAGAAGTCTGAAGCCTGGCTACCAGAAGAAGTCGCAGAGGAAGCTATAGGAAAGTGATTCTGCAGACCAAGAGACCCCATGTTCTGTCCACTCATCTGCTGAGAGCTAGTGACTGCAGTTGATGTCTCAGACCTACCAACGCCGTTGATCAATGACTGGGTGTACTGCAATCCATTGGAGGAGATGTTGGTGGCCATACTGAGGGCACTGATTGGAGTTTGTCTGCTGGTGGATGGTGGCCCTCCAGGCATTCCTCCAGCCTTACTTACTCCTCCATAGCATATGCTGTACATCTTAGGATCATTAGGGCTGCACAGTGGAGGTGGAAGATCATAGCTGGCACTGCTCACATCGGACATGTCGCTTGGAGCTGGTGTTACACTCCTACTTCCATCAGAGTCGTTGGTGAGGGTCTGGTTAGAAGGTGATGAGGAATCCATAGATATGGGACTTCCATCTGTAATGAAGAAAAAAAGAAATATTGATTAGAAATGTTTTACACTAGTGGCAAGTCTGCACAAATTAAAAGCATGGAAATGGGGCCACTACCTGAGAAACCTAGAAAAGATGTACAAGCAAAGGTACTTTGTATATAAGAAAGGATTTTACAATGGTGGCAGGAGAAAAATACAAATGTTTGAATGGTTTTCCATTTGACCTCTATGTCAGGTTGTGGAAGTTAACAATTAAATAGGATTTAATTATTATCTGCTTTATAATCTACTACATAATATAAAATAAAGCATTGCAATCCTCATTTCCTAAACAAAAAGAGAACTAGTTCAATTTACTTAAAGAGATCTGGTAACTTTGTCTCAGATTCTGAAAAAAATCCTGGATTTAGCTCATGCTGCAATGATAATCATAAAGCTTTAGGTCAGTCAGGAACCCCATGACTTTTACAAGCTGTTCGCCTGTCTAATTATGAAGATATTTATGATTGGAAATTTTGTGTTTGCCTAACGGTTTTCCTAACACTACAGTCTATTGGGGAAAACGAGTATGGTAAAAATCAGTCACTCAAAGACTTTTACTTTTTTAAAGTACTTCTTGATCATTTAGAAGCGCAATTTTTTTTAGGGCTTCAATATTACTGGTACACCATATCACTGACACTGATACGGTAGGGCCATGCATCTCAGATTTAACATTGTTAAACGATCCCTTTAGAGGGAGAGTGTGTTTGAATAACATTTAAAAAATAGAATTTAGTTCATTCTCTGAGGATATGAAATATTTGGGGGCTCAAAGTGGCTGAGAATCTTATTACCCACATAACCATGGCTAGTTTGGGGCCGCTGATGTTATTAGCTCTTAATCATGTCAAGATAATTGGACAGAAGGAGGCCATATTGAGGAAGTAATAACAAATCTCTCCTTATTTTAGAATGTGCAAAATCCATGAATAAATTAAGGAAATAGGGTTTTAAACAATGCTTATTTTGGAACGAAGACAGGTTCAGAGACAATAAAAGCAATAAGGATAGTATTAAGTGATGGGCACTCACTCACTTATAATCCCCCTTCAAAGCATATTATAACTGTGCTCATGAAGATGGATTACAAGATTCAGTATGATTTCTTATTAAAGGTAATACAAAGTTTTGGTAAATTTTGGAAAGTGGTTCTTTACAATTTTGATATATTTGGATGCCCCTATGGATATATTATAAGCACTAGAAAATTTAGACCCTAAAACACTTCTGCTTTCGAGAAAAATTGAATACAACAATTTACCGGTGCTCCCGGTAAATTTTGATAAATTTGAAATAGCGCCTACGGCCGTACAATGGTAGCTGCGACCATAAAAATATCAGAATGTGTAGTTGCGATATATAATTGCCAAACTGGAATGGTTAATCGGTCGATTGTCGTCAAGAAAAATTGTTGTATAGCTTAATTAATATCTTGACCTTGAGAGGGAACTATACAACATAAAGAGGTTATTATTTACAATTTCATAACTTTAGACTCGATTACAACCGCCACAACAATAACTGAATATTGTAGGATGGTATATGCTTCCAATTTATTCAGTTGAACCAAATTCATAAACATATACCAAAACTTTGTATTACCTTTAAGAGTGGCTACATATGATATCAATTTTATTATAAAACTTCTCCAATAACATTTCAAGGGTCAGAAAGAAAAAATCAAAGATATTACTTTGTTACTATTCAAAAGTGCTAGAGGGTAGATAGCTACTATATTCACCTGTGAAATCTTCTTGAAAAGGAAGATTATTGAGTCTATTAATAGTAAAGGGGAAGGGTAACTATCGGCCAGCTGGGAAATGGTCTTCAGACACATTCCCCTTGTGCAACAATACAGGTGCCATTGCTAAAGGGGAAGTTGTGAGTATGGTGGTCTGTGGAGGGGAGGGGGGGGGGGGGCATACAGTGTATTTGTCTGGACAAAAGTTGAAAACATAGTTATCAACCTGTACACATACTATATGCTTCCCCTCACATGAATATTTGTGTAGTATATGTCAGGTATCACTTGTCTTCCCTTCTAACAGTGTGAATGATCTAAGCATTAGAATAAAATGTGTTCTCTGAAACCAGTATCACATTTGAAATGTTAATAAACAATGTGATGTCAATATGCCAGCAGAGTGTGATGGCATTGGAATGAATTTTATTTGAGCTTGTTATTGTCAATAGAAAACATGGGATATCATTGAGTTTGACATTGTGGAAACAGAATATGAGACAACATTGGCATGATGAAAAACAAGCCTCTGGGACATCATTGATTATATGATTGGAAGTCAGGTCAGGTAGTCTTTCATGTTCTTCAAGATACTCCATAGGGAGTTTGACACATATACATACAAAATACACTGGCATGAACATGCATCTTAGAATGGAGTACATGACTAGCCTACCAAAAATGTTCTCGTTCACATTGAATATGTAACCCATTGCTTTTAACCAAGCACATGTGAAGGGACATTCTATAGCAAGAGAAAATTCTGTTTTGGAACTGGACCTCATTTGTGACATTGTAAAATTCTGAAAGTGCTCACCGCATATTGTTTTCTATAGTATCTTATCTAATAATAGAATAAATTAGCTACCAAATGTAGACGTTGTTGGGTGTATGTTAGAGGTTAAATTGACATTAATGGCCAAGTTATACGTATTAAATTTGGGAGACAATTTGATTTTATGCTTAACCAAATAGCAACTAAGCCAGCAGAAACCACCCCTGCAGACCTGCCAACCTCTGGAGTTCAAAACTGTATTCTTTAGTCCCAAAAGTTGTATTCTTGAAAATAAACACAGATTGTTATGCGGATCAATGCCTCTTACAGTTTCTACCTACAGGAAGAATTTTTTTTATTGATCATTGGTTGAATATGCATGATTTCGTCATGACTGGTGTGTTCGATGAACCAATGAACATCCCCAAATTACCGATGTGAGATGCTTGTAGGATACTTTACAGGACAGAATGGACATTTTGCTATTGAAAATGGCGGACGCACACTCAAAACATTAATTTAAAAAAAAAAAAAATCGTACTGTCGTATTTGCTTCTAAAAATCGAACTAAATACGACTAAATCGTACTGGTTGGCAGGTCTGCCCCTGCTTTTACTCACCGAAACGCCCGAAACCGCCCGTCCATTTTCGTCCAATTTCAACGCGCTATAGTATCCGTTCTAGGGTCTACCGTGATAATATTATACGTGCATAATCCTTACAATATCTACAGTAGGATTCTGCCTAGAAAAATAGCGCATGTTTCATATTGCTCAGAAAAATGTCAAAATGAGAGCAATATTGTAACATCTTCCAGTGAGTAATAGGCCATTTTTTACAAAATCTCTAGTTGCTAACGGGTTAAAGAAACAAGGAGAAGTTCTGGAGGAGGTTCCATCCTTTGTAACTCGTTTCCTGCTTTGATTATGAAGTGAAATATCCTTTTAACATTCATCCTGATACCCTTTTTGAAGAATGATGCACATCTACTTACATCACAGTGTATAGTGTGTTATGCCAAATGTGTTGACTGAATACAGACTTACAGAGTGTTACAAAGTAAAGAAACTTAAACCTAAGCTGAAATAATATCTTCAAATAAAACCTATATGACAGATTACTTAACGCATAGATTCTTATAGGGCATGGAGGTATTGAATCTTTAGGGGGGTTCTACTAGTCTTGAAATCAACCCAAGATATTTTTATAGGGCCAGTGGGGTGTTTCACAAAGATCTAAGTCTAACTTAACTGTAAGTTGGACTTAAAAATAATGGAGAGCCATCTGTAGCCTAATTAATTCAAAAGTACAAATTCAAGTATTTTAGAATTTTTATCAATTCCACATCAAGAACATGAAATCTCCTTGATAATAGAAAATATGAATGATTTGAATCAAAATGTTATGCTTTTTAAAATAACTTTTACAACATACTTTCATAGATGCTAATGGCTTTCCATAATTGTTAAGTCCAACTTAAAGATAAGTTCAACTTAGGATCTTTGTGAAACACCCCCTGGAGTTCAGGAATCTTTGGGAGTCCTACTAGCCCTGAAAGATATTCTTACCTAAATGAGGCTGAAGTTGTAGATTGCTGAGATGTGCATCTAATGAGAAGGAGTCATCCCTCATGGGCAGCGCTGGAGCAGCTTGCTGATTGGAGTCCTTTGAGACTTTGTTCTTAGGTGTGATGAACCCTCTGCGACTGTCCTTACCCTTATAGTGAGCTGCAATGTCATAGTCATAGCCCACACACTGAGGATGCTCAGGGATTGTTGGGTGTTTGGCGTGCTTCGGAGAGAGTCCACAGTCTGAGTGCATCGAGGTCCAGTAACCTTCTTGATCAACAGAGAATGCTGATAGGCTGTCTGTATCAGGGAACTCCTCGGCCGAGTCTCCAAAGTAAGCATCAAGGTCTAGGGAGGTGTTGTCAGAGACGATACTTGCTGCATTCTCAACCGAAGACTCTGAGGAAGAATCGCCAAAGGAGAGCTGAGGTTTGAGTGGTCCTTTAACAGAAGGAGCAGTATTACCAAGCTCTGGCTTACTGTGTATAGAAGCAGAGGCAGACCCTTGGGAGGCGCCTACACTCTTCAACCATGTCTCAGTGTCCAATCTGGTAAAGGTTCCACCAGCTGCTTCTAGTTCATTGGTTGGTGTTGGACTCCCGCTAGAGGAACTATGAGAGGACTTCTGAACAGGAAGGAAGCAGGGACGAGACCCATCCCCATTGATTAACCCAGGGAATGAAGAATTGGCGCAAGGAGCGATTGGCGTTCCCTGAGAACATTCTATCTCATTGGACAACGACACTGCAGAATCTGAAGGAGATGCATCCATGTTGGCTGGAGGAGTCACTTGACTGTCCTGTTCTGAGCACACTGATGTTCTTGTACTGTCCGTTCCACTCCAGTTCCCTGAACTGGATCTCCTATCCTCTTTCCTTATGCTAGACTTCTGCATCCTTAACCTGACTGAAGCTGCGAGTTCTGCAGGATCTGGACGAAGATGTTGCTGATGAGGTTTCGGATGTTGGATATCACCCTTTGACGTGACTGTCGTGTCAGTAGGGATAGGGTTCAAGTAAGACTGGGTGGAGATCACTGCATTTGGTAGATGAGACATCTGGGGCAGGAAGAGTTTAGGCTTTCCATTCCGATAGTGACCAGATGGGTGCTTACGTGATTCCGCATGTTCATTGAGTCTGTTGACTGCTGCTGTCTGCCATATCCTCTCCATTGAGCTGTCTGCAGAAGAACCTGGATAACAAGAATTTTAAAAAGGTGAAAACTAAATGATGGCATAAAGTTAGAATCAACTGCCTAGCTAACTCAATCCACTATCCACCCCCCCCCCAAAAAAAAAACCAAAAAAAACAACAACAACAGACAGACAGACAGAGACACACAAAGAGAAGAAGAAAAAACTGTCATTAAAAAAATGTAAATAAATGTTGAGAACTAGAGTAAATTCCTCAAAGTTAACCCTACTTCAATAGGTATCCAAGCATAAAATGTTCAATTAAAGTTGTAAATGTTATTTTGCTAATTGAAACAGTTCATGAACCTACCTGAGAATTGAACAGTTCCCATAGCACTTCCTGGAGGTACTGAGTTTGGTCTTAGGAGTCCCATACCTCTAGGAAGCGATGCAGACCCATTGAGGTTCAGAGCCTTCTCAAGCTTACTGGAATCTCCTAGTGAGTGACGGTTTCTTCTCCTGTTTCTTAGAGGAGCAACCACTGCGATGCTTGGCTTCCCGACCTTGCCGGCAGCCTTCCTTGCTTCGTAAGCCTTGTTATACTCCCTCACAGAATACTTGAGCTTTCTATCCAGACTCTGTGTCCGTATCTCCTCAAAATCGGCGCTGGAGCTACTGGTGTATTCACTGCCAGAGTTGGAGCGAGCACGCCCCATCTTGAGTTCCTCTTCAACTTCTCGAGGGATCCCTGACACAGTTCTCCTCCAGGCCTTCTTCTCCCTGCGTTCCTTTCTCCCCCTGGAGGACATCCTGAATGTGAGTGTGAGTGAGCGTCGGATGTTCGCCATACGCTCAAACCCTGACCCTGAGGTGTCCACAGTAACCATTGATGATGGTCCCACATGTTGCCTGACGGCTTCTTCAGGAGTTGGGAGTGGACTCTGGAGACGTTGGAGGTAGCTTTCTGATAGGATGTCACCATCTGATAGAGGGCGCTGTGTACGTTTGGGATTTGGCAGGTTCTCTATCTTCTGATCAGGTGATGGTAGAATGATGTCACGCTGTATGGTTCAAGAGACAAAGACAAGGTACACATTACTTTAAATGGCACTTCCAAATGTAAATATACCACAATCTTCTCTTTTTAATGTAGAAAATGTTGATAATATGCAATGCCAAATTTATAAACATTGGAATAAAGTATGCTGATTTTTGGAACGACAGGTAAAAAAAAACATGGCTCACAAGAAATGATGATTTAATGAAAATAATTTGTTATTCTGACTAGAGTCTACCTACAGAATGATTTCATCTAATCACCTGAAGAAATTGTAGAATATCAAAGGAAAAACTAACAAAATGATAAAGAGGGGAAAAAGGCTGCAAAACAAACGACTGTCATATAAAAAGCTTCTTGTGGGAATAACACATTTTGATTCATATCAACTTACAATTGAAAGATGGTCTTACAGTATGACAGTAATCTCCGACAATCAAAACCACTTTACGCATCTAATCCTACAGTCATTTGCTTTCCTCATCAATTCCCTCCAGAACAATTTCTTTCATTCTTTCTCCTTTTCAATACCCCCCCCCCCCCCCCCCTTTTTTTTTTAAAAATACATTTACCTCTTTCTCTCTTAGTATGTATTTCTCATCATAATTGGATTTGTTGTCATATCAAATTCTACTATTCTTACATGAAACTTACTATTCTCCTGACTGAATTAACACATTTTCTTCTTCGGCGGTTGATATGTCCAAGACTTCTACTCATATTTTTGGGTTGAATTTTCCATTTCTACATATATGTTAACATTTTAATTGGCTTTTACTTGGCTAATTGTATATTTCCTTTTCCTACATGTTTATGGAAACTAATAATTTCTTTCCATATTACAGTGTCTTTCTCTTTCTCTGTTCTCTTTCTCTGTTTTCATTCTGCAATTCTTACCCCCCCCCCCCCCCCCCCCCCCCTCCCTACACAAAACTGCTCTGTCTCTCTCTATCTATTCACTCCCTGCAGGCTGTTTGCATAAAAGCTTTCTCAGCTAAAAAGTAGGATTGTGTTTCAGACGACCTCCAAATCATTTGTGAATATGCTCCCCATTTTGCGGGCTTTATTGAAGCGTCCAATCGCATTAAGTCTTTGCGACCATCAAAGGAGATCCATTACTCTTCAAGACTACAATTCTCGAGGCTCTCTCTAGACTTCCACCCAGCTACTAATGGTTGGTTCTGAGATTTAATCTGGATATTTATCAATTCATCAGGACATTTCAATGGCAGACGATTGCTTCAAAGGAGTAAATTAAACTCAGCATTATCCTAGAGAGCTGCATGGAATCAGAAAGCGATGGATAGAGCTAAAGTACAGGCAAAGTACGGATAAATCTTTATATTCAAAATGACAATTCTCTTGCAAAATGGCTCTGACACTTGTGATGGTCATGTGCAAAGCCCACAAGTAAAAGATATTAAGTAATGGATCTGAATAGCTTATATCGTCTGAAGGCAGCTGAACACTTCAATTTCCTCTAGTATTTCAAGAGGATTCAATGCTATTCGTCGCATCCGTTGAAGATATTGTCACTTGCAACATATGCTTTAAAGGTAATACAAAGTTTTGGGAAATTTTGAAAATTGGGTGTATAGTGATTCTTTACGATGTTGATATATTTGGATGCCCCTATGGATGTATTATAAGCACTAGAAAATTTAGCCCCTAAAACACTACTGCTTTCGAGAAAAATTTAATATAAAAATTCAATGATGCTCCCTGTAAATTTTGATAAATTTCAAATAGCGCCTACGGCCGAACAAAGGTAGCTGTGACCATGAAAATATCAAAATATGTAGTTGTGATATATAATTTCCAAACGGGAATGGCTAATCGGTCAATTTTAGTCAAAAAACATCGTTTTATAGCTTAATCAATATCTTGATCTTGAGAGGGAGCTAAACTTAAAGAGTATTACTTGCAATTTCATAACTTTAGACTTGATTTCAACCGCGACAACGATCACTGAATATTGTAGGATCGCATATATGCTTCCAATATGTTCATTTGAACCAAATTCATGACCCCATACCACAACGTTATATTACCTTTAAGATTTAACTAAGAAAAGAGCATGCGGGTGCACCATGTGTGAGAGAGAGAGAGGGTTGAGGAGTCCTGGAAAGGACTCTGACTCGGATAGTCGACCTGTTCGAAACGTCGAACCACTCATCCTCTCCAAGCGCTATAGTTCTCCTTGGAACTATAAGCTAAGAAAGATAACAGTCCTTTTAGGACTACACATCCCCAATAAAGATTACAGAGTCAGAGTCCTTTCCAGGACTCCTCAACCCTCTCTCTCTCTTTCTCTCTCTCTCACACATGGTGCACCCGCAAACCTACTGTATATCTACATCACCATGCAAGCCGCCATTTACAAGCAGCATCTATACTATTATTGTTGGTCACACCATCAAAACTTTAGTAAAAATAATAATATATCTGTAGCCTCCATGCATATCTATCAATCAAACTAAATGACTTCCTATATCAATCACATCATGAGTTAAGTCAACAATTACAATGATGGCTAATTCCATCATAATTTCTTTTAAACAAGGTTAAATTTGATTACAAACAAGCAGTTGAAGGTGCATAAGAAAGGCCTATTATTGCCAGGAAGGGGGAAATATCACTTGTGGTAAAGGGAGTGTTCCACAAATCAACGATTATTCACAATTTCCTCTTTGAATCATATTGTGCTGATCGTCAGGCGCGCTAAAAGACAGTAGGGTGGGTGATTAGGGTAAGTCTCAATTGATTTTAATTGAAGGAGGTATTTCCTGTGGAGAGTTTGAGGTATGTCTTGAGGGGAGGTCTCTACTCAACCCATACTCTATCTCACACACACTAATTGATATGTCCTTTGTTTACTACATACACTAAACTACTCCACCCTCTCACATCTAAACCACCACAAACTCCCCCTTATGTTCCCCTTTACTACAAACAAATACAGCCTTTGTGTGAATATTCAAAAAAGTCCATACATAGTCACAATAACCTATTCAAAGTTCTTAATTTGCATGTTTTATGAATTTAAATTTCCTATTTGATTTTCAATTCCATATCGATTTCCAATAGTTGAGATCTGATTGTAAAAATGAGGAACTGGAATACTTTTCATCCTCTCCATTCTTATCACAAATGATGTATCTTTCAAAAAGTTATCCTGCTGCTCGACACAAAAAAGTAACTGCATGGTACTTCCATGAATAGCTTCCTATTGAGAATTCCTATCCCACACATCCCTTATATAGTACATGTAGGGCCAGCCTCCTTGCCGTTTCAGGTGATCTTAATCCATACAATTACTTCTCAAAAACAGAAATTAATTAAGAACTCAATTTCCTTAAAAATATCATTGTTCCACCATCAGACACATCAATATTAAAAGGGGAGCAAAGTAAATTGATATTCAATATTGTTTCATTATGGTTGTGTTCGTTACAATAGATTAAATGCAAAGCTACAAGGGACAAGAAGTGATTAGATCTTATCTGGATTGCCCTATATACTTCAGTTTTCGCACCAAACTAGCATAAACTTGCCCACTTTCACTGCATTCTATTATGAATATGCTGATCATCCTAGGTCTGTATTATATACTTGAGAATGGATTGCAATCTAGGCAATTAATCTCACTAATAAGGCAATTAGAATTTCTAAAGATATAGATAAGATTTGGAATTGACCTAAACAGATGAATAAGGTCCCTATTAGTACACACTGAAATAGTGTTTTTATCAATATTGCAATCAGTATAGCTCCTCCTACCATCTGTTGTTATGGTAGACATGCATACGAGGGCAGGGGAGGTGGATAGGGGAGGGTAGAGGGGAGGGGCAAGGGGGAGGGCAGGGGGAGGGTAGAGGGGAGGTGGATAGGGGAGGGTAGAGGGGAGGGGTAGGGGAAGGGCAGGGGGAGGGTAGAGGGGAGGTGGATAGGGGAGGGTAGAGGGGAGGGGTAGGGGAAGGGCAGGGGGAGGGTAGAGGGGAGGGGCGGAGAGGGGAGGGTGAGGGGAGGGTGAGGGGAGGGTGAGGGGAGTGAGGGGAGGGGAGGGTGAGGGGAGGGGAGGGTGAGGGGAGGGGAGGGTGAGGGGAGGGGAGGGTGAGGGGAGGGTAGAGGGGAGGGTGAGGGGAGGGGCGGGGGGGGGGTAGAGGGGAGGTGGATAGGGGAGGGTAGAGGGGAGGGGCAGGGGTAGTCTGCAGGCACAGACCCTGGTCAGTCGTAAAAGTGAGTCTGCAATATAAGACTACCATAGGCCATGTACTGTAGCTGCTCCTGACACAACCAGTAGGTAGCTTGGCTAGACTTCTCTCAAGGCACAACGATTTGTTGATAAAGTGTTAAATTAGGGTCTGTGCCTGCAGACTAGGGCAGGGGGGGCAGGGGGAGGGCAGGGGGAGCGTGAGGGGAGGGGCGGGGGGAGGGTGAGGGGAGGGGCGGGGAGGGTAGAGGGGAGGTGGATAGGGGAGGGTAGAGGGGAGGGGCGGGGGAGGGAAGGGGCGGGGAGGGACGAGAGGAAGTAGAGGGCCGGGGAGGGAGGGGGAGTAAGCTCAAATAGGGGGTGATAAAGATGAAGACAGAGAGAGAAAGAGGCAGAGAAAAAGAGAGAAAGAGAGAGAGAGAAAGAGAAAGAAAGAGAAAGAGAAAGAGAAAAGAGAGAGAGAGAGAGAAAGAGAGAGAAAGAGAGAGAAGAGAGAGAAAGAGAGAGAGAAAGAGAGAGAAAGAGGCAGAGAAAAGAGAGAGAGAGAGAGAGAGAGAGAGAGAAGGGAGAGTGATAAGGAGAAGGAACAGAGGATAAACTTGCCCACTTTCACTGCATTCTATTATGAATATGCTGATCATCCTAGGTCTGTATTATATACTTGAGAATGGATTGCAATCTAGGCAATTAATCTCACTAATAAGGCAATTAGAAAGGGGAGGGGCAGGGGGAGGGAAGGGGCGGGGAGGGACGAGAGGAAGTAGAGGGCCGGGGAGGGAGGGGGAGTAAGCTCAAATAGGGGTGATAAAGATGAAGACAGAGAGAGAAAGAGGCAGAGAAGAGAAAGAGAGAGAAAGAGGCAGAGAAAAAGAGAGAGAGAGAGAGAGAGAGAGAGAGAGAGAGAGAGAAGGGAGAGTGATAAGGAGAAGGAACAGAGGATAAACTTGCCCACTTTCACTGCATTCTATTATGAATATGCTGATCATCCTAGGTCTGTATTATATACTTGAGAATGGGAGAAGGAACAGAAGTAACACAGCAAAGGTATGTTAGTGAACTAAGTTATTCCTATTTTGATAGTTAAAAAATTAAAATATTGTTGTGTATACAATATTTGATATATCCAGAACAAATAAATTGATTAATGGCCTAATAAATGATGTATAATTATTCTTATTGTGCAGTGGTTTGCCTTGAAACCTATGAGAATGTGTACCATTTATTAGAATGTCTTCGGTTTTAGGAAAAATACTCCAAAAAAGATCAGAAACTTGACAAGAAACAGGTAAGAAAGTTTACGTCTTTTAAATCATGACCATTATTTGAACAATTGATAAAGATTTAGTTGATTGTTTGTATGTTATAGTAGGGTATCTCCACGCCGGAGTCACATACGGGTCAACGTCTGGATACGATTCTGAACAAAGATACAAGCTAGCAAGCCAGCGGCCAGTCAATTTGCTTCCGCTGGCCACCGAAAATGCCCACACAACGACCGCCAGGGCCAGCCGTGAAGCGACCAGCAACAGCAGCGCTTGAGAAATTTTGTTAACTCGCTCTGCTGTATACGGCTCGCACAATGGCAGCCTATAAAGCCGAATCTATCAGTCATTTATACACTATTCAACCCCAAGCTTTTAATAAAACTTCAATCAAAACATTTAATTACCATCAGGATATTAATGTTCAGTGGAAAGATGAATTTTTTGAAGTCGTCAAAATAGGAAAATGTTTATGTGAAGTGTTTTCCTGTATAGGGATATGAGGTATGAATTCCAAACAATAAAGATAATAACATAAGCTCACCAAATTAAAACTCTCTTTTGGCGAACACAAGCAAAGAAAAGTTTAGAACGTGTGATGATATCCAAATGAAGTAAAGCTATATGACAAGTCCTCTTGATGATAAGTACAGCCGAATAAACCTAATGTAGTGCAGAAAATATCTTGCTTCCAAACTCAAGTCCTTCTACTAAGATGAAATGCACTAAGAAAAGAATCTACTAAATTGTGTCTTGATCTTTCTCCAGACTGTCTCTTGATTGGCCAGTTGTTGCCATGACACAAAAACATCTACTAAGGTACAGTAGTGAAGATATTAGGGACTTTTAGATTTGCGTGGACTGACACGTGCGACGTCCATTCAAGGCAGTGCATTAAAAGGACGTCGATCGTAGCAATCCACGTTGCTGTCGTGCAAATCTAAAAGTCCCTATTTCAACAACAGGTGAGCTTGCCTGATATATATTCTATTGAGTCACAATGTTGAATAGGCTGACCAGCAGTGAACAAAAGAGATGATATCAAAAGGAATGCTGGTCGTTCATTATGCAAAATTCTACTACATTGTGTCATGACCTTTCTCCAGACTGTCTCTTGATTGGCCAGCTGTTGCCATGAAACAAAAACATCTACTAGGGTACCACTATGAACATTGCGGACAAAGAAAGCAGACAATATATACAGTTCCTCAGGTAAACAAAGGAACATCCCTTCACTGCTATTATGTAAAAATATGTAGAACAGGTGTGACATGCATATTCACTTTTTACATAATAGCAGTGAAGGGATGTTCCTTTGTCTACCTGAGGAACTGTATATTTTGTCTGCTTTCTTTGTCAGTCATGTTCATAGTGACAGTAGAGAAGATATTTAAACAGCAGGTGAGCTTGCCTGATTTATATTCTATTGAGTCACAATGTTGAATAGGTTGAATAGCAGTGAACAAAAGAGATATCAAAAGGAATACTGGTCTGTTTGAAAAGCAATTTATGGTTGTAACATCAGCTGACAATAGGCTATTTCGTAATGTAACCAAATTTAATTCAAACGTTTTTGTGAAGTGCCTCGATCCAAACTATTTCATTCATCAGAATCTGAACTGCATACATTAGTTGTTGCCAGGTAGGACAATCATTATGGCTTGCCCTACCTAGCAACACTTAATATATGCAGTTTGCATTCTGACTAGTGAAATACTATTATTCTTATCAGGTGAATGAAATAATTTGTATTGAGGTGCTTCACAAAGACATGTATTAGATTTGGTTACATTACAAAATAACCCATTGTAAACAACTGTGATGAAGTTCAAATGTTTTTAGAATTGCTGATAAAATCTGCTACACCTCCATGCTTGACCACATGCACATTCCATCGATCATCATCTTACAAATCACATCGGCAATAGACAAGTAATTCTGTGAATCTCATGGAGGAAATTGGGATTTATGCATCTCTTTTTTCTTTAAGTTTGGGAGGAATCTTTTACAAAGTAAATGGAGTAAAACCAGTCTAGATTTTGTAAGTTTTTGTGTACTATGACATTGCGTACACATTGCACGGTAAATTGCACAGTAAATTGCAATAGCATTAGGTCGAGGATGCAAGATGACGTAGTATGCCAAAATTTGCATAAAGAGGTCACTTCGATCGTTTCAAGAAAGGGCTGGAGAAACGAATTGGCTAGTGTAAGAAACCAAATTATAAACTCAAATTAAACAGACTTCCCGATTTAATTTTTTGGAATTTCAAAAAGCATAATGATATCAATTTGGAACACACATTTCATGATTATTATAAAATAAAAACCATAATTTTTTTACAAATCACTCAGCTCTTTAAGAAATAAACAGATACAAAGAGGGCTGGATCAGGATACACAAGGAGAATGGGTTGGAAAGAAATACAAATAAATCCAAATATATCCCCCATATGAATGTGAGAAAAGAGAAAGGGAGGAGAGAGAGACTCATAATCATACAGGTGTATTCCAGGAGGGAGGGATGGGGAGAGGGGGGTAGGTGAGGGGGAGAGGGAGCGAGGGAGATAGAGAGAGATAGAGAGAGAGAGAGAGAGAGATTAGAAGAGAGAGGAAGAGAGAGAGAGATAGAGAAAGAGAGGGAGATAGAGAAAGAGATTGTGCATCTGTGTCATGAATGTGGATTGGCAAAATCATGAGTTTGATGAATAATAATATTAGAATATAAGGAAATCAAACAGTAACTCCACAAATAGAAAGCAAAAGAGACAGAATTAGAAAATGATAAGATGCTACATCCTAAGATAGTACCTGAGATAATACAAAGATAGAGACAGGATGTCAGACAACAGCTGTCTGAAGATTACAAAATACTTCTTTAAAATGATAGTCACACCACAAAGACAAATGAAACTGCCACGATGCCAAGATAAAAAAGCTGTGGAGTTCACTTTCATTCATTCTTCACCGGCCTCCCCCATTGATATCCATTCCTAATGAAGAGAATTTAGATTGCTTCCAGTCACAAGAGGAGCTGAATCATATGCATGTATGTATGTTAGCTCCCTCATTCATTACACCAGGCACTCCTAATTTATCACTGTAAACACCAAGTTGTGTCGGTTGTTTTGAAGTAGGTTGCTCTGTGAATGGAGTGAGGAGGGATGGGTTTATGTCATGGCAGCATGCATGAATTGTTTATGACATACCATCTGCCTTTAAATTATTTTGAACCATTTTAGAAATATGAAAGACAGCTTTCATAATTAATGTAAAGTAGGATAATTTGTCCAAACATAAAACCTAATTCTTCGCCAAAATTGTGTTTTCTCAAACCCCTTCTATTACTGCAACAATTGATATACTTAGAAACAAAGAAAGCTATGGGTGGGGCCAGGTTGAAGAGCTTGAAGATCTTTGAAGTTGAACAGGATGGGCTTCTCAATATTGAACACATTACTACACAAATCAATAGCAATGAGTATTGAATACATGCTAGCATGGGTGTAAACAACTCCAGTAAACTTTTTGAAACTGAAGTGGAAGATAGATATCGATCACAATGAATGTTGTTTTCATACCATCACACTATCAATTTAATTCACTAAATGCAATTAATGTATCAAATATCAAGAGATATTATGATACCATAGGGAATCTATGAAAGACTCTTCATACATCATTTCATTAAATATTGAACATAGATGTACTGATGTATTCTATTTCACTATTAATGATTGAAAATGGATCTATGATAGTTTTAAGTGTGTTTCCCAAGTGAACAATCCTCATTCAATAAAGCAAACAATAGATTGTATGAATTGACCACTTAAAGAAAACAAGTCATCTGTGTTAAATGAGTAAACGCCCTTCTGGCTTCCAGCAGATGAAATAATATATACATAGCAAATACAATGTGAATCATGCTGGCATAGAAACAAATAGAATGTAACCAGCTTCCTTTTACAACTGAACTGCTTGAAATATTTTTCTATTCTTCAGATCACATTGAATACATTGTACACAGACAAGCTTTGTGTGTACAATGTATTTAGAGAGAGTCATGAAGTCTGCAGACATTTACCAAGTAAACATCATAATTTTGCTAAAATGCACACAAATCAAGATAAATATCAAATTGATGGTACAAATAAATACTGGAGACTCGCTGACAATAGGATGGATACAGAAAATATAATTCCTTTTTTGTGGATGAAAATATTCATGATCATTAAATGGACACACTTTGCAACTTTTATGGAATACATGCATGCATGAACGATATATAATATACATGAGGTGGAATTGAATGCATGTACAGTAAACACATATTTATAAACAGGATGATGAAATTTAAAAAAATACCTACCATGCAGGTTTGAGGCAGGTGGGCAGGCAGGCGGGCGGGCGGGCGGGCGGGGGAGGGGTGCAAAAACAGCCACCAGGGGGACGATGATGAAGATGGTAGGCAGGCAGGGTGGGGTTAAGTCAACCATGCAAACAAAAATATGAAAATCAAGAAAACCAACAAATGAGAATAAATAATGAAAAAACAAAATGGACCAAAAAAACCCATAATTCATAAATAAGGAGAAGTAAAAATGATTTTAAAATGCTGTTAATAGCTTCCAAATTAGTAGAAATGCTTTCCATTTGAGGACCAGAGACTGGCAGCTTTGCATGCTCATCTATCTTCAATATGATAGAATATCAGCTGTACTTGTATGCAACTATCTTCTGCCTCCTAGAATAGAAAGCTTTTCTTCTCCTCATTGCATGCAAAACATAGAATGAATACAAAATGAAATTGTCACAAAAATGAGAAATAAAAGAAATATCAAGACTATTAAGGTATGATATTAAGCAAATATCCCCTATTTCCCATGAAAATACAAAAAGCAAAAAAGAGAAAAAAATATCCATTTATATCGTTTTAAACTTCCATCATGCAATCTATAACTTGCAAGAAAACGAGTGAAAATGCACAACCCTCTTTTACCAGATCTATGTAATGCTGTGAAACAATACCTCAGTCCCATGTATAGCAGTTTGCGCAGGGTATAAAGGTGGAAAAAGCACCCAGGGGAAATAGAACATGGCCGGGTACAATCAAGAGAAAGCGAGCCAACCGCTCGGATCGTTCTAGTGATTGAAAAATCAATACGTGACTCCATTCTAGCTTGAATTCAGCAAACACTACACTATATTAGCATTATTTGAGTTTATGTTTGCATTTTCCCTACGTGATATTGGAAGATTTGATTATCAATGTGTACTCGTTGAGTTTCAATCAAAAGGACCGCTATAGGGCTTTGCATGCAGTCATGAATGATTTCTGATCCCTGCGGCTGAAACGTTGAACTGGAAATTATAGTATGTGAAAATATGTACACAGTATAAAACATACAAATACATGTCTTTCATGAGGTCACATTCTCTTTACATTTGCACAATCATGACATTTTCTGGCTCAATATCTCCAAACTAATTGATATAGCAAAGTTTCTATTGAAACACTCTACATATATATTTTTTGCCTCTTATATTTATTCAAATTGCAAAGAAAATATATGCTTCTCGCCACTCTCCTGTTCTTTAGAACATTAATTTGTCATTTGTTTTACTTTTAATTTCCCCTATTCTATCTCCAACACTCTACAATATCTATTAAGCTCTCCTTCATCTATCTCTCTATCTATCTCCCATCATTCTTTCTCTTTCTGTTTAAACCTTTAAATCCGTTGTCTGGTTGCCTACTTACAAGCATTTATGCTTTCTTAGCAGTCAGGTAAAATGACCAACCAAATCCATTTTTACATCCAAAATAATATAATTAATTAAAATCAATTAATTTTCAATCAACCCCTTCTACCTCTTTCAT